ATATCATATAATATATATATATATATATATATAATTTCTAGTAATTCTGTTTTTTATGCCTACTCAAAAGTTCACATTAATGAAGGTATGAGGTTTACGAATCTAACCTATAATACGTTACATGGACAAGCGACAGCAAAAGCGCTTGGACTTTCTTAATGAAAAGGAACCTGTTTTACTGAATTTTTTTTTATATAATGTCAAGTAACAGAGAAATAAGTCGTGCGCCTGATGGTAAGCTACAGGCCTGACTATAGCAGTTGCAGTGCCACTCAGAGCTTTAAATCACAAAGATTTGAGGACACTGCCACTGGGCCGTCTCTCTGAGACGTAAGTTGACAAGTCTCATGTGCCTATAATTTCACCAGCACCCTTACCCTTCAAAACCGGAACACAGTAACGCTAACTTTTTTTTGTGTGTTTTTCCCTGGAAGAACTCTTTCACAAGGAGCTCTACTTATTTCATGATAACAATTCATTCATATAGTAATAATATTTATTTATTTTTTTCACTCACAAAAGCAGCTTAAGAGCTATTTAAAAATTATTTAAATCTACCAGACAATTCGATTTTGGTGAGATTGCGTTAGAGGATGGAAAAAAATAAAGGAAAGGAGCTGCCCTATCTACGGAATAAACGTACCTACCTAAACCAAAAACGTCCACCATAAATGGCGGATTTAGTGTTGTACCATAATCATAGATAAGTCAATATCAACATGCAAATGTATGGCTTGACTGTTCAAACTGCTTTTTATGTTTGCAATTTTTTATAGTTTACTGTAATCAAAGTATGATTAATACTAGGCAAGTAATGAGCCATTTTAATCAAAATTGAATATAAAAATATTTACCAATAAATGTAACGATGTAATTGCATTATCATGTAAGTAATCTAGTTATATTCAAAGTTCTATTAAAATTTGACTCTTCAAAATGGGGCGAACAAACAAAGATGGTATTTGAATCAATTCGGTTCTGCAATTCAATTCAATTCTATTCGGCAGTCCTATAATTTCCAACCATTCTTTCTTTCTTTTTTCATTTGTAGGTAAACTTTAAAAATAATAATAATAAAACAATAAAAACCTCGTAGTGAATTGTTTTAGTAACAGAATATCGATAATATGTCTGCTTACAAGAACAACATTATCTCAAATTAATCGTTATCAACAATCACCAAAATATACTAATAAACAGGCAATCTAAAGTAACTAAAGCAAAATTCGGCAAGACTTATGAATAAACTACTTAAATGAGTCTAATTACATGAGATATTTGGGCTATTGTATAATTTATGGGCAGAAAAATAACACATGCCGATGTAATGTAACATTCGGTTGATTTCCTCTTTTTCTACTGCCGCACCCCTTAATACTGCAGCGACGCATTTTTATCAATACTTAATTGTTCCCACTGTCAATATTTTTTTTGGCCAAACATTGGTTCTGACATTTGATGTACGTCCTTTGACAACCGGAAACGGTTATCAAAGGGTACTACAAAAATGGCAAAATGAGGACTGTTGGCATTTAAGATGACGTTACGTATTTTTGATTCCCGTGTTTGACATAAACCAATGTAGTGCTATCTCTTTTGGCTTACGACGGCACGCAGTAGTTAAACAAAGACAATAAAATGTTTGTGTTTTCAACGTCTAAATGCATCATATACATATAACGTCTTTTTTATACATGTCAATATATAACATGACCTTTGGTTTCCATAGTCTAAGGAAATTACAGGCTCATGAATTGTCAACTTGGCGCCCGTAGCAGGTTTAAGAATCTGACTAATATAAATTAATATAAATTTTTAGCGAAATTGATTAGAATAGAATAGAAACCATTTACTGCATCGCTACAATATAAAAAATAAAAAATATTGTTAAGCAAAATTAGCGTAACTAACATTTTTTTAGGTGACAATACAATTTTCACCATAATGCAAATGCGTTAGTTATGACAAGACGGGCACAAAACCTGTGTTAATGTTTGTTAAGTAACGCAAACGAAAGTTTGTGTTCATTATCACAACATTTATTGCATCCCTCATGGAAGACTGGCATTAGTGAAGTTACGTCAAAAATGTTTATTGCTCCATTAGATACAGAAAAATATAACCCACGTCTTCTCCAATTCTTGTAACTCTAGCGACTAATATTGTAGATAAAATTACAAGAATTGGAGAGAATGTGGGTTATATTTTTTTGTATCTAATGGAGCAATAAACATTTTTGACGTAACTTCACTAATGCCAGTCTTCCATGAGGGGTGCGATTGTCAAGAAAGATTCGTTCATTGAGAAGAGTTCACTGAAGAAAAATTTTTACCTTATAGATATCTAAAAACATTTTATTATCCGATTGACCTTTTACTAAGAATAAAGTGCTTTCCATACGTTACGATGACGTTATCATCTTTCGTATACTTAATAATAAGAAATATATCAATAAAGATGAATCAATGTCAATCATGAACGACTTCAATTTCAGGCAAGTAGGAACTGATTCTACGTATACAATATGTTTAACAGGTCAACTATTATTTGCAACTAATGAAAAGGCATAGCTGGTGCAGCAATTGAAATGTCTAATAAGAAGCATTTAGTGCACTGGCTTTTCTATATATATTACACACAATTCATTACTTTTTAGAATGATTTCATTTTTAAAGTCACTTTCCATGAATTAAGTTCATCGAATGTCAGGATATTTCACCACCATAATATTCAATTCTTTTTTTGTGAAATTACTCCACTAGTTTGTCATAATTAACACAAATTCGAACCAGCGTCCTCTAGCAAACCGTGCTGTACCAACAACATAATCTCAGT